TCGTTGCATCCAGTGGGGACATAATTACGGATTATAATGACTTGTACTGTCTTTTACGCGTTGCGTTGCGCCGCGCCGCGTAAAAATAAAAAAACATGTCTGCATTTGTGATCCGTGGGCTTGCGGCAACCACATGTGACGACCCCGGGCTGGACTTGGCTTCGTCTAGTCTTTGCAACTTTACAAATCTTCTTTATGCACCAAGAGCTTGTAACACTTCAAAGAGAAAGGAAAAATTGAAATCGCATCATATGACCCATTTAAAGGGATAATTCACCCAAAAATGAAAATTGTCATTTATTGACCCTAAAGTTGTTCCAAGTCTGTATGAATACCTTCAGCTGCTGAACACAAAGGAAGATATTTTGAAGAATGTTGGTAACCAAACAGTTGATGGTAGCCATTGACTTCCATTAGTATGGAAAAAAAAAAATACTATGAAAGTCAATGTCTACCATCAACTCTTAGGTTACCAGCATTCTTCATAATATGTGTTCTTGAAAATGTCTTCCAGGATTTGAGGACATTAATATTGTCAGCAAAAGAAAGAAACAAATTTTTTAAAACAAGTGGAGGTTGAGTGAGAATTTTCATTTTTGGGTGAACTGTCCGTTTTAGTGGCATCTTTCTATTTGGAGATGCACTGCAGGTCAAATGTTTGAATTTTTTTAATGTTTTTGAAAGAAGTGTCTTATGCTCACCAGGGCTGCATTTATTTAATAAAAAATCTAGTAAAAACAGTAATATTGTGAAAAATTATTGCGACGTGACGTGAAGGCCAAGTAATGGTAACCCATACTCAGAATTTGTCCTCTGCTTTTAACCCATCCAAGTTAGTGCCCACACATTAAGGCCAATTCACACCGCACAGACAAACGCCAACAAACAAGTCTGTCAGAGTTTGTTGGATCAGTGTCGTTTGTTGCCATTGTTCAATCTGCGTTTGTTGGGTCGTGGAATGTCTGAGCAGTGTGATATGATTTTCCAACAAACTCTGACGTAATCTGACCTGGTCACGAACTGTTGCCATGACGATGCGCATACTTCACTTAAAGCGAGCTTAACCCAACGGCTTATTTCGCCGTCTTTTCAGGCGAAGAATGACACTAATATTAAGACATTAATAACAGTAAAATTTTGATTGTGGTTACAGGATCATCCATTTTTCCCCCCAGTCAGACTTAAACCGTGTCTACACAGGACGCAAGTGGCGCAGCGTGACGCGACAAAATACAATAGAAGCTATTAGGGGTGGAACGGTTCAACTTATTCACGGTTCGCTTATCACGTTTGTATCGGTTTGTATCATGAAAATAAGAATAATCTATCTAACTACAAGCAACAGCACAAAAGGTAGGTCTAACATTAGTTTTCAGGTACAGAAATTGAATAAAGTAATGAAATGTAAAACAGCATTGCATATTTGACTGTATAAATTAAAGATTAATCTTTATAAAACTATTCAATCAAGAGCAGTGAGTGATTTCTTTGTTGTTGCTGTTTGATTAATATTAAGAAAGTGCTGTCACTTTAAGAGAATGCACTGAACTAGTGCACTGATACAGTACGTTCAGCCGGCTATGTCTGCTATAGGATACTTACCAAGACGGACATTTTGACTTAATTTTTGTGAGAATTTGTCAATTTAAACACAATACTTCAGAGAGAGCTTAATATTTGCTCGCGTTCTGAGGCGCGGGTTTGCTCCCTTCGGATGAGCGCACGCACAAATCTTCTCACTGAAATCTCGCAATTGGGGTTTAGGTGCCTTGCTCAAAGGCACCTCAGTTGCGGGTATCGAGTGTGGAAGAGAGCACTGTTCAGTCCCTTCCCCTACAACATTTCCTGCTGGTTTCGAGACTCGAACCCACAACCTTTGGGGTTACAAGTCTCTGTGACTCTCTAACCATTAGGCCCCAACTGCCCCTATTTAAAAGATCTGTTGTAATTGCTGGAGTAATGGCCGCTGAAAATTCAGCTTTGCCACCACAAGAATAAATTACATTTTGAAATATATTAAAATAGAAAACAGCTCTTTTAAATTTGTAATTATTTCAAAGAAAATTTTAATTGTTGTTACTGTATTTTTGATCAAATAAATGTAGCCTTGGAGTATAAGATACTTTTTATTTCAAAAACATTAAACAAACTTGATTATTCCAAACCTTTGACCGGTAGTAACAGCACTTCAGGTATCTAGAATACAAAATGAACTGCTAATCACTTACATCAAGCATCTTCTTATTTGTATTTTCGCAGCCAATGGTGTGAATGGATCTGTTGGTGCCAGTGGAGCAGATTCTCCCAGAGCGAGGAAGGAGAAGTCATCATAAAGTCCCAACTTCTGTCCTGACTAAATCATTCAGCCTGATCATTTCTCTCCGTCCCGCAGTTTGTCTGTAGCCTTTTTTCCCTTTCCCCTCTTGTTTATCTGGAAAAAAAAAAAACTTGCAATATGTCATCCTGCTCCTTGATCCTGTAGGATGCTGAATGCTGCATTTCATGAAGCCATCCAACTATTATGTCTCTTTGCAAGAAGGGCTTAAGGAAAAGTGGCTTTGGGGGATTTTGGAGGGGTTCTTTTTGTTCTCCTCTACATTTGTTTCCTTATTCTGAAGGTCCATATGCTCTTTGCTTTATTTGCTGAATGCTGCATTTCAAATCCAAATCTATGATCCAGTCATACCTACAAATAAAACATGAAAGCTGTGGGGAAAATGTAACTTATTTTTTACAAGTGCCTAACCATACATCGTTTTGACAGATCAGAGAGAACTAATTCAGTATTTTAACTTGAGTTTGAAATCAGGGTTGTATTTAAAGTTCTCTGAAGGCTCACAGTTTATGTTGATTCTATCCTATGCATTTGGAACCATGTCTAATGTCTTTTCATTTGTGTTGTTGTATAAACATGTTGTCACATTTTTTTTTTCATCAGAAAAAAACAAAAGCAAAAATGTTAATTTGATGCCTTTTTTAAAGAATTTCATTTGTTGCACTGTACTGCGTAATTGGTCATGGTAAGGAAAAAGTGTAATGCTCCACAAATTTTGTTAATTTAGCAAAGAATGACAAACAAAATGAAGAAAAACTGTGTGCTTTTGATTTGTCAAAAGATTATACCTTTTATTCTTGAACTTTTCAAATCTGACTTTGCTGTATGGTGTTGATAACACATGAAAATGTCAAATCACAAGTGTCATTCCAGTGAGAGTGTGAGACTGTGATCAGGATCTAAGGAAAAGATCTCAGATATCATCATTTTCATAGATGGTTTTGGTTTAAGAACAACAGTCCATAGAGAATTAAGTTCAATAAAAAAGCATTGTTATCTCACATTTCTTTTACCCAAGTACAACCAATGAGAAAGACAACCAGTATACAACATTAATAAAATGTTATTTTCACAGTAATTGCCCCATTTCACTGCATTGGCTATGAGTGAGTGTATTTGTTTTATTACATTTTAGAAAACGAAGGTCAAAATGAATTTTTTTTTATTTTTATAAATTCGTTAATTGAAAGACAAGGTTCAAATGACAAGGGTTTGACTGGCTTGAACCGCTCAAAACAAACAAACAAACAGCTTTTCAGTTACCAGTAAATTTCGAGTCCGAGTTGGTCAGAAAGTGCCAAATAAATAACACTCGTGAACAGTAGTCGCGTTCTCGTGAGGATTGGAAGTAACCATAGCAACAGTTGTTCGAGCCTCCGTATGGCATAGAAAAAAAAACGTTTGTTTTTTTTGTATATAAGCCTAATAATATTACAACAGATTTTGTTTTATATAAAAGTTATTTAATAACTTGATACGTAATTCTCAAATGAAATACAGTAAAAAGGCATGCTGAAAACTTGGTTTTATTTCATTTTGCTTCAAGAGGTCATTTTCTTTCAAATGTTGGTGTTGATCATGTAGTGGCGCTGTTCGCCAATATTTTTCTTAAGCACAGTGGTATTTATTGGTTTTGCAAATCACTCTGCGCGGATGTTGGGGGGGCTATTTTCCATTAGCAGAAGTATAAAATATGAAACCAAAATAACAGCATATCTATTAATGCTTTCCTGAACAGATAGTGCAGTCTCTTTCGTCGGGACGTTTCGTTGCGATAACCCCGTGCTGTTTCACAATTGTTGTCAAGCGCGTGCCAATCTGAAAGAGTGTGAACAGCGAATATTGCATAAGTCACTGTTTGCAGATTTCCCTTTGAGAGAAGTTACATTCGATGTGGACCTTTGATCGACTCTGGTTGCAACTGTAGGATTCGTTTCGATTCGATTCGCCCATACTTCATCTCGCTCGCTGGCTTGCTTTCACATGGAAGTATTTTTATATAGGAAATCAACCTGTCGCCGTGTGGGTTTTGATCGGATACCTGACACATTTGGGGTTTATTGCTGCTGAGTAATCACGGTAAGCTTTGGCTTCCTGCCCGATCAAACAGTCCCTGAGCTCGTGGCCATCTGAGGCTTGTATTCTGGGAGAAAAGTGAGAAATGTTTGTGTATTTGATAGCCTAACTCAATACAGTTGTGAGACATGGTGGAGTACTTGTCTGTTGAAAAACCCTTATAGGGGCTTCTTCTTCCATTGTATTTCACAGATGTAATGGCCGAGACGTGTTCTATATCTTTAAATGACGTCTAGAGATGTGGACTCATAATCGAGGACATAGGTCTTGACTTATAAATAAAATAAATACAAAAGATTAATTTATATTGCTTTTATTATTAGGCTATATATAATAACATATTCCATATAGTGATGACAAAATTAATATATATTGATACTTTTTCAGTACATAGAAGACTTGAATCTCTTTAAGATACAATAATGTCTTGAGACTTGCAAAACAATTATTTGAATGTCTACAAAAAAAAATACTAATGATGGATAAAATTGGATTTAAATTGGCCTCTGCTATTCTCAGACCCAAACACTACTGAATTTTCTCTTATATTGTCAAGGGCTGAACTTGGTTGAAAAGGTTCTGATCTTGGTGTTTTGTAAAAAAGTTTTTATTTGATAAGAAGTGTAGATTAAATGCATAATAAGAATCCTGAAATCATAGCATGCTGGATGTGATTTATGGAGGTCTGGAAAACAGTTTCATGTGGGCCATCTAATGTGATTTCTAATTAAGCTGTCATGACATTGATAATAGAGTGCAGATTGCTTTGGGTTTGGAATAACAACAACACCGGCTTGTAACCTGACCACTCTGGCACACTTTTTTCTCCCACGGCACCACTTTAAAGGCGAAAGCTTTCGCAAAGTGCTCTGTAAACTGGCTTTTCAACACAGTTTTGATTCCCTCCTATAATATTATGAAACATCTACTTGTAGTTTAAAAAACACAAAGACACAGAAAACTAAATCCAACGGGCGAGCCTTGGCCTTATGTTTGCTGTATCATCATTTTGCCCCGTTGCTCACTGCAAGGTTGCTATGCAGGCTAGAGTAAACGAGTAGATACTGGTGCCCGTAGTATGTGGGGGAGGTTTTTCTGGCGAGATAAACAAGCAGCCAGCCATCGTCAGGCATACGGCAGCAGGAACATGGCGGCGGCAGTTAACTATAATGCTGTTTCACCAACCAGAAGGTCAGAGCTGGACGTAACGTACAGGATTTAAGAGGAAACAAAACACTGTAAGTCCGACGTGGTTGCAAATGGTGAATGTTTGACGGTGAATGGCGGTTTGGGGTGGCTTTGTAACGCGATTTTTACACACTGGCTGCAGAATCCAATCACAGTTCCGCGGCGGCGGTGGTATCCTGCATTAGCTTGCTAAACCAGCTATGCAGGCTAGAGTAAACGAGTAGATACTGGTGCCCGTAGTATGTGGGGGAGGTTTTTCTGGCGAGATAAACAAGCAGCCAGCCATCGTCAGGCATACGGCAGCAGGAACATGGCGGCGGCAGTTAACTATAATGCTGTTTCACCAACCAGAAGGTCAGAGCTGGACGTAACGTACAGGATTTAAGAGGAAACAAAACACTGTAAGTCCGACGTGGTTGCAAATGGTGAATGTTTGACGGTGAATGGCGGTTTGGGGTGGCTTTGTAACGCGATTTTTACACTCTGGCTGCAGAATCCAATCACAGTTCCGCGGCGGCGGTGGTATCCTGCATTAGCTTGCTAAACCAGCTACACTCGCTATTTCAGCCTGGCCACTTTGCAGAGTTAGAGAGTTGTGTTTTGCCTGTTGTCGCTGTGTAAACAAATCGCTTTGAGCGACCTTGAAGCGGATGCACGGCTGTTACTGTTTTAACATTTCAGTTGTGTCGCAGATTTAACGTTACTTGATTCGCCCGCGCTGCTCGCATTTGAGCGATTAAGTTTCGCCAGCTCCCCCCTCTTATTTGCATGGCTAGCTTTAGCCTACGAGCCTCCATTTGACTGTGCGAGGAAGGCGAGTCCATCCGTGGAACGATATTCAGTTGTATTTTAACTTTTAGCGGGCATAGCTGTTACATTTGTAACGTGTGAATGGAGTTCCACTGGAATGCTTGTGTTACATTGTAGCGAGCTGGACTGTAACAGTTCTAAAGCCAGCCGCTAAAAGCAACACGGTGTCGTTCGCGGGCGCGTTCTGTTGAAAGTAAACGCGCGTTGTTATTTGACAGTCACCGCGTTTCGTTTCTGTGCGGGCTGAGATTAGTGAGTCAGCTCTTTGCTCAACTACTGCACGCCACGGTTCGGTTTTCTAGAGCTCGCCTGTGTAAGGAAAGGAAAAGTTGGGGCGCCAGTGGATGGGAATGCTGCTAATTAGCATTTACCTCGTGATTTGCCTGAACTCCGCTATTTTCACAAGCGCTTCTATATGGAGCAGAGGCTGCTTTTGTCGTCCAGCAGGAGATTTTTTTTAGTTTGGTCGACAGAGTTCGTAGCCGCCGTGACGAGGTTTTACGGTGTGTGACGTCACGCCGCCGGGTAGTTCACTGGGTCTAGGTCATGTTTAAATGCACCTTAGCATTTAAGTCGTAACTGATCATTTTAACTCAAGAGATACATTTGGTCTCAATACGTGTTTTTTTTTCATTTGTTTGTCTCCATTCTGTTGTTTCTCTCTCTCTCTTTTTTCTCTCTCTTTCATAAACGCAGATCATTGTCTTATTTAATTCTCATTAAAACGTGGTTATTGGGAGTGTGAATTGTGGGAATGATTTGGTTTGGTTTCATTTTGATTCCTCTAAGGATTCCAGTTCATTAACGGTGCCATTAACGATTTTTTTTATAACATTTTACAATACAAGTACCATGTTAACATTAGTTAACTGCTTTGGCTAATATGAACTAACAATGAAAATTATAAAGCATGTATTTATCTTAGTTAATGTTAATTGTAACGTAGTCTACTGAAACATTATTAAAATCAAAAGTTCTATCTGTTAATATTATGTAGTGGTCCTGAGGTTAGGTTACATGAACTAACAATGGACAGAC